TCGGGCCACCAACCCCCCAGCTGCCCGGGTGTCATGTTATGAATGGCCCCCCACCCTCCCTGCTGCCCCATGTCATGTCATCAACCGCCCCCCCAGCCGCCCAGCTGTCACATCAACAAGCACCCCCATGCCAAGTCCCTGTGTCGGGGGGAGGGTCCCTTTGGCTGGCGCTGCTCCATGGGGAGGAGACAACGCCGGGCTGGTGCAGCCTTTGCCCACTGGGCTAGTAGCCCAGATCCCCAGCCCAGCTGGTGGCCAGAGGCCGGGATCCCCGGAGCCAGGCAGTCTCTCTTCCTGGCCTCTTTGTGGGACGTCGTTTCGGATTCCTGGTCCCGTGGGGGAGTCTCTCCCTTGGCCACTGCAGCAGATGGTGTTTGGGTCTCGATCTCGCCCGTGTCCCGCTGCCTACGCGGGCGCTCCTCTCTGGACTGGGCGCCTCCCTGCCTGTCGCTGCGGGGAGCGGCTGCCAGCTCGCCCCTTCCACGCAGGGAGCCGGAGCCTCCGGCTTGTTGGCTTTGATTTGCTCTCCTCAGTGACTCGTCCGCTCTGGCCTCCTGAGCGTTTGGGGGCCGAGTGGGGTTGTTGGCCCTGCTGCCCGGGGGCTTGGAGTTAAGGTATCCGCCTGGGATGAGCGTTGAGCTCCGGGATAGATCGTGTCCACGCGTGAATGCGCTGTCTGATCCCCATCAGTTTCTAGTGGCTGTTTTAGGGGCTTTTCCTCAATTGCTGTGTGTTTGTGATGGGGGCCGGCTCCTCCGGCAGCTGGTGGGGAGGGACGGACACTCAGCTGGGCTATTGTTTGTTTTATTTGGGTTGGACCAATGTGGGTGCAGTGAGACAGTCCCTGCCCTGAAGAGCTCCCAGACTAATGGGAGGGTTTATCCTCCCCCGTTCAAATAGGGGGAGCTGAGGCACAGAGCGTAAGTGATGTGCCCAAGGTCACATGGGAAGTCAGTGGCAGAGGCAGGAATCGAATCCAGGCCTCCTGAATCCCAGCTCAGTGCCGTGGAAAAGCCATTTTGGGCCCCCCACCTTGGTCGCTCCCTGCCATCTTCCCAGTGTAGCCGTGAGTCGCCCAAGCAATGGGGCTCCCGGGGGGAGACGGCTCCACAACCCGGGATGTCTCCTGGCCACCTACTTCCCCGTTAGTCAGCCTCCACTTTCCCTTTGCTCCATTTCATTCTTGTCCTCTCGTTAGACCCCCTTGTTGCCTCCTGACTGATTCCCCTGCCTCCTGCTGGGGTTCGGTCCCTTCCCATACCCAGCCACGTTCGACTCAGCCAGTGTGCTCCGACTGGTCCCATGGGGCGAGCAGCCCTGGGCCTCTCTGCCCCATTGCTTGGGTAATGCTGGGCACTCCCATAGGCCAGTGCACCGGGCACAGCTGAGCCCCAGGCCTGTTGGCTCCCAGGCCTGGGCAGTGAGGCCATCGCTCCGTGAAAGAGGCGGGCATGGCTCCGGCCAGCACCTGCATCCATCTCCTCCTGCAGCGTGTCTGCATGGGTCACTTCAGCAGCCCCCTACCATGCAGCGGGAACCGGGCTCCCCTCCCCACCGTCTCTGAGTTGGACGGATGCTCCCAGCGCAGAAGCAGGCAGCTACCCAGGCCTGTGAGACTTCAGCAGCTTGGAGGCTTGCTGGCCTCCTCCGGTGAGCAGATGGATGGCTGCCCACTCGCCCTCTCGGCTGCCATGGGCTCCAGATGACATTTTAATCGAGCCGAGCGCGCTTTCTGCTTGTTATGCCTCAAAGGGACTGGAAGGCAGTTACCGAAGTGCTGGAGCGAGCGTGAGCTCTGGATGAAGGCGGCCCGGGGCCCGGCAGACAGGGATCCCCTCCTTGGCCCAAATGATGCCTGCCCTTTAAATGGCGTAAAACACAGCAGGTGGCACCTGCCCTGGCCTTTAATAGGGGAGGTGCAGCCTGCTGGGGCTAGCGGCAGTGCATGCTGGGAACTGTAGTCTCAGCCGGCCACCCGCTGTGCCGGTTCATTTTCGATCCCTGCCAGCCTGTCCCGGGCACCGTCAGCTCCGGCACCCGCCCAGTCGGTGCTTCTGGGACGGTTCCAGAGAGGGGGCTGCTCCGCTCCAAGATGTGTCTAGCGGGGCAGTGGGCACGGAGCGTGGTTCCCAGTGTAGTGTGGCGTGGCCTGGCCTTCTGGGGGTGGCGGGAGGGATAGCTCGGTGGTTTGAGCATTGGCCTGCTAAACCCAGGGTTGTGAGTTCAATCCTTGAGGGGGCCACTTGGGGTAAAAATCTGTCTGGGGATTGGTCCTGCTTTGAGCAGGGGGTGGGACTAGATACCTCCTGAGGTCCCTTCCAACCCTGATCTTCTATGAGTCAGTCTGCAATCCACTTGGGTCCGGTTTAGGAACAGCCCATCCAGCCCGCAGAGCCAGGGGCCTGCAGGGTGCAGACAGCGTTTGGACGGCTCCGCGGCAGGCTGGATTCGCTGCCCAGGTGACGGTCGGGGCGTCTCTGTGATTAGCAGGCGGCACGTGGGGTGTTGAAAACAAGCATCTATTAGCCACGAGTAGATGCTCGGTGTGGGAATATCGACTCCCGGATTCGGCCTCTTTGCTCCGGTGACAGAGCATTGGACGGGGATCAGCAAATCGGCCATTTCCCCCCCCCGCTGTGCCGGACTCTTGCCCCGAGAATGGCTGGGGAGAGGAACAGCCGGGCACAGACCTGACTGGGACCAGCCCATCACACCGGGACAAGCCAGCGGCTTCACTGCCCTGCGAATGGCTGCACCTGTGCCCAAAGCCCTGCGCTCGGCTGGCCTAGCGCTGGGCCTTAGGGGTGCACACAGGAAACGGGGTGGGGCTGCAATGGGAATAAAGGGGGCTCTCTGCTGCACACACACCGACCCAGGGGTGTGACCCAGCCTGGGCTGCCCATTGGCACGGTTACAGGTCTCCCAAGTCCTTGACACAAGCCATGGCAAACAGTAACCAGCGGGAACTGAGCCTGCAGCAGCACGGACCATGAACAGGGCCTGTGAGCGTACCCAGCGTCCGCCTTCGGGGTGGGCAGGGGCCTCTCTCCCTTGTGCTCTCTGGGACGGGCCCAGGACTCTGGTGGGTGCAATAAAACCTTACAACCTTACATCTAGGCACTTCCATGGCCCCTTGCTCCGCCCCGCATGGGTTCATCGTCCTGGGGAGGTGAGGGCTCCCCTCTGTTTACACTGCTGCACACAGTAAGTGACTCTCCCAGGGTCACGCAGGGAGTCTGTGGCAGAGTCGGGAGTTGAACCCGGCTCTCCTGAGCCCTCCCGGGGCTATGCCCACGAGGCCGTGCGTCAGGACAGGAGGGGAGCCTGGCTCGGGGGTTAGTGCAGGGCTCGGCACCATGCTCCCTTCCGGGTCACAGTATCCAGTGCCCGGGGAGTCCTCACCATCTGAAGGCTGCTGAGTGAGCCAAGGCCGTGGCCTCCCGTTGGCAGGGTCGGCACCGGGATGGAGAATCTCGGGGGGGACGCTGGCATTCGGGGCTTTGCTTGATTGCTTGAGATGGGAGCCAAAGCCTCTAATGGGTTTAGGAGGCGCTGAGCTGTCTCTGCCTGTTCGGGGGTGGGAGGGGGGCAGTGAACTGGTGAGTGTGCCATTGTCCCTGGCCTGGCTTCGCCCGCGCAGAGCGGCTGGGCCCGAGCCTGGGGTCCAGTGGGCCAAGCGGGTCTCCCACCCTTGCCATAGCAGGAAAGACCTCGCTGTCTGGGAGTGTCTCCTGCTGCCCTGTCTCCATGAGGCCCTGGCACCTCGTGCCCATCTCCAGCCCAGGGGCCCCACCCTGCCACTTCCCCCTCACCTGTGGGGTGAAGCTGCGCCCCAAAGCACGTGGGAAAAGGAGACCCCCTCGCTGTGCTCCTGCTGGGCCGGCTCTGTGGCAGCACAGGGCTCTGCGGGGCCCCAGGGCCTGGGCCTAGTTAAGGGGATGCCCCTGGGGCAGGTTTGTGGGTGTCGGGGGACAAAGGGCCAGTGGTGGCCCAGTCCCGGGGCTCCTGGACGCCATTGTTGGCAGTGTTCTCCGAGGCAGCTCTCCTAGTCCCCATGGCCGTTCCAGAGGGGCAGGGGACCCCACACACACATTGCGACTTCTTGGGGGGGGTCCACTGCTGTTCTGCCAGCGGCTGTGGAACTGGAAATCAGACAATCTCCCCAGACAATGACAAATGAGTGAAAGAAGCTTGTGAATCCCCAGCAGACAGCTGGCGGTACCCCACCCCCGTGCCCCCCAGCTCTGCGGGACAGGTCGCAGGGAGAGACCTGAGCCTGGCAGGGAGCCCGCCCGCTCCAGGGGTGGGATCAGCGCTGGGCCCTTCCTCAGAGCTCGGGGGGACGTCCCAGGCACCGGCGGGGTCAGGGAGGGGGAGCGTCTGCTCTGGAGGCCAGCACCCAAGCCGCTGGAGTGTCTCTCTCCCGCCTGCCAAGAGAGGGGCTTGCAAACTTGGGGGCTAACGCCTGGGGGCTGGCAAGGGGTGCCCCCCCTTGTCTAATAAGAGCTATGTCCCTTTAACACAACACCCTGGGGAATGCGGTGTCACTGCTCCCCCATCACTCACCCCCCACCACCCTGTCCCAGCCGGCCGCCTACAGCGCCTCCTCCAGGCAGCCAGATGCAGCCCTGGCCGGAGCCGCTCTACAGGGCCTGGCATTTGCCCTGCATTAGGCCCAGCCAGGGAGGGGCCTGCCCCACGGAGCCTCAGCCAGGCTGACTGCTGATTCTGGGCTGTAGGAGCCCCAGGCTGGTTTGGGGATGGATGGGTAGGACTCACATGTGAGCGTCGCCTTCTGGTGGCTGGACCTGTGTCCAGGAGCAGGGACCTACTGCTGGGGCTGGGCCGAGGAAGACCTCCCCTGGCTCAGCGGGCAAGCGCGCTGTTTGGGGCCAGGGCACCTGGTTCTAGCCCCGGCTCCGCAGGCGCGGTGGGGTTTGGGGCAGGGGATCTGTTCTGCGTTGGCGATATTCAGCCCCCGCTCTCTGTCTCTTTGCCAGCTGGTCTAAAATGGCCCTGCTTGTCTCGCCCCTCCTCCTCCTGGCCCTGCTGGCGCTCAGGACCAACGGCTGCCCCGCCACTTGCCGCTGCTACAGCATGACCGTGGAGTGCGGCTCCCTCGGCCTCAAGGAGATCCCGGCCAGCATCCACCCCTCCACCCAGGTACGGCTGGGCACCCCCAGGCCCACCCAGTTTCATGTTGGCATCCATCCAGCAGGCACCCTTGGGGGGGGAGGGTCATTATCCCCTTCTACAGAGAGGGAAACTGACATGGG